AAGTTTCTACTCGATCCTTTGTTTTTTGTTTTGAATTTTTTTATTCTTTTCGCATCCATTGATGCTTATTTGTTGTGTAGTTTTGGTTGTTTTTGTCTCTGTTGCGGTTACTTTTAAAATTGGTATATTCTGCAATGCTACTGCGTTGGTAATGGTGGCTTTGATTCGGATGTCGATTCGTTTGTTGTTTAACTAATTCTTACGAATTCATGGATCTGGAAGCGAAATCTTTGATTGTTTGTTTAGTCTTCGCTTATCTTTTGCTGGTGGATAATTTATCCGTAGAGATGAATATTTGGAGTGAGGAATGCGGGATGGAGTATTCTGTAATCCTTATGCTCAATCCGGTTCAGCTAGGAACCACTAGTTTTGTGTAACAGTTCTTATGCCGGATTGATGCGATGGATGACTATAACTTTATGCTCTTTAAAGAGTGGTTAGTGTCTTATTCCGAGGAAATGCTCTTCTGAATGGTGTAATTGGATAAAAAGTTGTAGGAATGTGTTTCTGATCTGTTTCCCGCCCTCATCTCTCCACTAATTCATTGTTGCTTATCTTAATTTTAATGCAGGATTAGCTTTTATTTTATTCTTATTTCCTTGGTATAGTAGGAAAAGTTCACGATATAATGTGACCATATATTACTTTGTAGGCTGTCCTCAAACAGTTTGGTGCTGGAGGATATGGAGGTTCAGATAACATCATAACGGATGAGGCAGAACTTCACCAACATCAAAAACTAGAAAAGTTGTATATATCAACTCGTGCTGGAAAGGTTGCTACTTATCCTATGGCTTAGTTCCTTTATTTTTTCCATATCATTGTCTCTTTATTTATGTGAAGTTCATTTTCCTTTTAGCATTTTCAAAGGGATATTGTACGAGGAGTAGAGGGTTATATTGTTACTGGTTCAAAACAAGTTGAAATAGGTAAGTTCTTGGGTCTTTCAGGGCTATCAGAGTTTTGTAATTGGACTGAGATTTAGAGCTTAATTGTCATCATTCTGCCTGTGTTCATCTTATTCTACAGGAACAAAGTTGTCAGAAGATAGCAGGAAATATGGTGCTGAAAATACATGTACTAGTGGCAACACATTATCGAAAGCTGCATTAAGTTATGGACGTGCACGTGCTCAAATGGAGAAAGAGCGTGGAAACATGTTGAAGGCTCTTGGTACTCAGGTTAGATCATAGATTTTTGTGCAAGATAGATGGCATGAATTGTTGTGTATAAACCTAAGTACCGAAGCATGAAAGTATAAATAATTTTTACCTAAACAACTATGCATTTGAGTAGTAGTTAACCAAATTTTAAAGGTTCATTCTTCAGTCTTTTGGGAACAATTATAATGGCCCCAAACATATGCATAATCATTCAGTGTAGGAATTTGTATATCATGGTTAGGTTTCTTTGTCAGGAATTTAGGCAGTTAAGAACTATTCCCTTATTGAGTTGAAATGATGAGCTACCCAAATATGAGGAACTTGCATATCCTGAGTTGTTATTCTTTGAATGATTATGCATATGAACATACTAAGAAAGACAATGATGATTTTAAGTGTTCTTGCATACTCCAATTAACAGGTTGCAGAGCCATTGAGAGCAATGGTTATGGGTGCTCCTTTGGAGGATGCTCGACATCTTGCTCAACGTTATGATCGAATGCGACAAGAAGCTGAAGCTCAGGTAATTCATCAGCACTTTGAGTTATTCCATTTCATTAACTAATGGGAATGCGAAAATGTGGCTGTTCCTCTCATTGGAATGAAATAAGAGTAGGTCTAGGAAAATCAAAGGAAAAAAATTAATTGGAATGAAATAGGTGAAAAATGGACCTGAATTTTAAGTTTGTGTTTACTAAAATTCTTGTGGAATCAAAATGATAACAGGACTGATTATTATCAATGCTGTCAACATTGACCTGTATGACACTTAAATTTAGATTGGTATGGTATCCACAATAAAATTACGAAGTAAAATGTTATGTAAAAAATTGGCGGATCTACATTAATAAGAAAATAAGAACGACAATCTCTTTAACGGAGTCCTGATTTAAGCTGGGATTCAGTAGTTGGAGATGATTTGTGTCCTGATGTAAATTACAACAAATGGATTGAGTGAAAATGTTCTCATCTCCATGTTCCCGTTCTTGATATGTAAATAGACTCTAATTCTTCTATTCGAAATTTTGTTTTTTCTTCTTTTATTGGCTCAGGACGTGACATATTTTAATAAAATTCCAATTCTAAATTAGAATGAAATTCATGATCTATAAATTGTTTTCTTATAGCCAAGATTTAATTAAGCAGCATTTTATGTTGTACCTAGACAGGCTATTGAAGTTTTCAAGCGCCAGGCAAGAGTAAGGGAAACACCAGGCAATGGTGAGATTACGATAAAGTTGGAAGCTGCAGAAGCAAAATTGCATGATCTAAAGTCAAATATGGCAACAATGGGAAAGGAAGCGGCAGCAGCCATGGCTGCTGTTGAAGCTCAACAACAGAGGCTAACTCTCCAGCGACTCATTGCCATGGTAGGTATATTTTTTATTATCAGGATCTATGGTGGTTCTCTTTGGTTTTGTTTGGATTTATTTTTGGAGTCGAATGTTGAAATTAATGATCTCGATTTTTTCATGGATTATAAAGGTTGAAGCAGAACGCGCTTATCATCAAAGAGTTCTCCAAATACTTGATCAGCTTGAAGGCGAGGTAGCAATCACGCGCCAGTTTTCTTCTGCAGCTTTTCACACCTTGTTTAAGAATTAAGCACATAATATTCTTTTATTTGTAGATGATAATGGAGCGACAGAGAATTGAAGCTCCTCCTACTCCCCCTCCTCCTGGTCCAAGTGTTGACAATACCATGTCTCCTCCTCCATCATATGAAGAAGTCAATGGTGTATTTGCTTCTCAAGCACATAATGGTTCAACAGATTCCATGGGTTACTTTTTGGGGGAGGTAGCCTGCCAAGTCCTTTTTCCTTGGAAACTTCTACATCTTGTTTATTATTACCTACCTGATTTGTCTTTGTTTAGGTCGTGCATCCCTACCAAGCCGAGTCAGATGTTGAGCTTAATTTAACAGTTGGCGACTACGTCGTTGTTAGAAAGGTTTCAAACAAAATCAACTTATTCAAAGTTGTCTGTTTGGATTCTTTACAAACCTCACTTATTGATCATGTTCTCCATTGGTTCTTCCAACAGGTGTCGAACAACGGTTGGGCTGAGGGAGAGTGCAAAGGCAAAGCAGGATGGTTCCCGTTTGGATATATAGAAAGAAGAGAACGCGTACTTGCAAGTAAGGTTGCAGAGGTGTTTTGATCCTTTTGCATGATTTTAATCGGTTGGGGATATTGTATGTGTATTTTTTTTCTTTTCTTTTATTTTTCATTAGATGTACCCGGATGGATGATGCATCGTGTTCTTGCTGATAGAATTCTCATTATACCAATTGTTGAGATTTTGTGATATGGAGACCGTCAATTTCTGCTATTGATCCTTGTGGGCTGGTGTTCCTGAACTTCCTTTTATTGTTTCCCCCCCTTTTTGGACAGGCTCTGTTTTATCACGGTTGTATTATTCTCCAGTTTAGCCAATAAGAATGCTTATTGTAGTGAACCTACTTTGCTTCTTTTAAGTAAATAATAAGCGTATTCATAAACCATAAACCATGCACATGCCTAGTGAGCCCCCTAGGTGCAATGGTTAATGTATTCCCTAGGTTTGGCTATAAGTTAGTATATATTCACATCGTTAAAAACTAACAAAAGAAGATTGGAACACGAATAGTGGTGTACATGTTTGTATAAAACATGTTGAAAAAGTAATCTACGATCATATACATACAAAACCACAAATAGGTTGAAGGGTTTATAGTAAAATGATGCACATGGGTTGGGTTGTCCGTAGGCCTTCACTAGCCAGATCGAGCACTAGCCAGATCGAGTAGATGCGAATCAAAACCACAAATAGGTTGAAGGGAAAGGTTGGTCTTGGTCCTAGTCTTTTTGTTGGTGTTTTTTTTTTTTTTTTTTTTTTTTTTTTTTTTTTTTTTTTTTTTTTTT